CTTGCACACGAAAATCACTCACTACGAAAGCAAAAGACTTGGCAGACGATGCACCATCCCCCCAATGAAAAGCAGGGGTGTCACTAGCACGTTAAGAGACCATACAATAAGTGTCAGGGGCCCGAGACTGTTCAACTGCCTCCCAGCACACATAAGGGGGATTACCAACAGACCCCTGGCAGTCTTCAAGCTGGCACTGGACAAGCACCTAAAGTCAGTTCCGGATCAGCCGGGCTGTGGCTCGTACGTTGGTTTGCGTGCAGCCAGCAGCAACAGCCTTGTTGATCAGGCTCTGATCCACCAGGAGGCCTAGTCACAGACCGGGCCGCGGGGGCGTTGACCCCCGGAACTCTCTCCAGGATGGAAGGAGAAAGATATATATATATATATATATATATATATATATATATATATATATATATATAATATAAATATAATATAATATATATATATATATATATATATATATATATATATATATATATATATATATATTATATATATATATATATATATATATATTATATATATATATTTTATATATATATATATATATATATTATATATATATATATATATTATATTATAGTATAATATATATATATATATTATATATATTATATATATATATATATATATATATATATATATATATATTATATATATATATATTACACACACACACATTATGTATGGTAGTAGGCTGGTAGGAAGCAACACTGCACAGAGATATTTCCGCCATCTCATGAGTGGAGATTGAAAGCCTGTTCAACGTTTTTCACTTTGGAAACTGATTTTTTTTCTGTGGCATAAACAGGTGACATGACAAACTTCTACTTACAATCTGCATAAACCTATCTTTCTCGTGTGTTACTTTATAGATTTTATTCCTCTGACGTTTCCCTCATAATTTTCTTGATAAATTGGGTCAAAATCGTTTCCCCATTATCATGTTTCAGAAGACGACTGGATGAATAGGCTACTTTACCACATTTTCTGAAATTTTTAAAGAAATTGTGATGATGCTTGAACGTGGGTGAACGTAACGTGGTTTTTGAAGAGACTTATTGGTATTTTGAATGGAAGAAAACTGGTACCACAGCATTGCAATAAATTTAAGGGTGAGCGAATTCGAATGGGAAAGAAGTGTATGGATTAAGGTGGATGAACCTGAGAGAACACGAGTCACAAGGAAAAAAAATGACATCAATAATTAATTTCAAATGAATTAACATAAAAGCGGAATGTGAAAAGAGGATAGCAATTAATGTTGACACACCTGGTGGTAAGATACAGATAGAGAACAGAAAGGTTATAGGATAGAGTAGATTAATATTTAAAGAATTTTTAGCCTAGTGATGGAATGAATGTTTAGGGAGATGTTAATGTCTAATGTTTAGGATGAGAATTACCAAAACAAGGGGACACTGAAGGAAGCTGATCATCAGGCAAACGAGGATGTTAGTAAATACATTTTTCAGAGTAAGGAATGCAAACTGAAGTAGAAAGACTGTCTAGGTTGAGACAGATACACAGACACACACACATACACACATACAAAAACACACACACACATACACACACACACACAGTTCTAGGACCAGTGCTATTTTTGATATATGTGAACGACATGATGGAAGGAATAGACTCTGAAGTGTCCCTGTTCGCAGATGACGTGAAGTTGATGAGAAGAATTAAATCGGACGAGGATGAGGCAGGACTGCAAAGAGACCTGGAGAGGCTGGACATGTGGTCCAGTAACTGGCTTCTCGAATTCAATCCAGCCAAATGCAAAGTCATGAAGATTGGGGAGGGGCAAAGAAGACCGCAGACAGAGTATAGGCTAGGTGGACAAAGACTACAGACCTCACTCAGGGAGAAAGACCTTGGGGTGACCATAACACCGAGCACATCACCGGAGGCACACATCAACCAAATAACCGCTGCAGCATACGGGCGCCTGGCAAACCTGAGAATAGCGTTCCGATACCTTAATAAGGAATCGTTCAAGACACTGTACACTGTGTATGTTAGGCCATACTGGAGTATGCAGCACCAGTCTGGAACCCACACCTGGTCAAGCACGTCAAAAAGTTAGAGAAAATACAAAGGTTTGCAACAAGGCTAGTCCCAGAGCTCAAGGGAATGTCGTACGAGGAAAGGTTAAGGGAAATCGGACTGACGACACTGGAGGACAGAAGGGTCAGGGGAGACATGATAACGACATACAAGATACTGCGGGGAATAGACAAGGTGGACAGAGATAGGATGTTCCAGAGAGGGGACACAGGGACAAGGGGTCACAACTGGAAGCTGAAGACTCAGACGAGTCACAGGGACGTTAGGAAGTACTTCTTCAGTCATAGAGTTGTCAGCAAGTGGAATAGCCTAGCAAGTGAAGTAGTGGAGGCAGGAACCATACATAGTTTTAAGAAGAGGTATGACAAAGCTCAGGAAGCAGAGAGAGAGAGGATCCAGTAGCGATCAGTGAAGAGGCGGGGCCAGGAGCTGAGTCTCGACCCCTGCAACCACAATTAGGTGAGTACACAGATACTTCTTAGAGTACAACTCGCCGAGTAAACAAAAAATCTCAAGCCGGCCCTGAAGAGTTTACTCATCAACGTTTGTACGAAGTCAATCATAACAACACAAAAAGACTAAACAAACGTCTGTTAATTGTTTGTCCCGTCGATGGCAACTTTGTATTCGTTGTTTGTCGAGTAAATATAAGAAGTCCAGCGTTTTTGTTTACCAAACAAATATTACACTGGAGCTGCTGCTGGAGCAACATAAACAATAACTGAGTAAGAGAGAGGTGCCATGACTTGTTTATCTAAGTATTTGTGTGAAACAAGTAAAATTATAGTCAATGGGTGTATGTATGTATATATGTAAATGTGTATTACGTATTTGCTTTTTTGTTTACCTTTTCGTAAATACAGAAACAGAGTCGTGCTCGTGATGTCCCGTCATCAGTAATTTTTTCAATAACTTAGACCTCAAAATTTCTGATGTTTGTAGTAGCACTTACTAGTTCCTCTTAACTCACTGGACAACCTCTGTTGGAGCGTGTTAGATAGGAACGAATGGAGACAAATGGTTTTTAGGACTTGGCGTGCTGTTGGAGTGTGAAGGGTTTCAGATAAACTGGCAGGCGGACTCGAGTCCTGGAGATGGGAAGTACAGTGTCTACACTCTGAAGGAGGGGTGTTAATGTTGCAGTTTTATAACGGTAGTGTAAGCGAGCCTCTGGCAAGACAGTGATGGAGTGAATGGTGAAAGTTTTTCTTTTTCGGGCCACCCTGCCTTGGTGGGAATCGGCCTATGTGTTAATAAAAAAATAATTAATATATATATATATATATATATATATATATATATATATATATATATATATATATATATATATATATATATATATATATATATATATATTTATAATTATCAATGAATGTATATATTCTTGTGTGTACTGCAGTGTGTTTACGAGTAACAATTCCAGTATTCACTCAACTCAGCTACACTTTTTCACTCCAGCGCAGATTTGTACTCGCATTCCAGCTTCAGGAATGCGAGTTTGGCGGAGAGTAATTACGCTCCTCCTTATTGCAAGCGTTCACTGCGTTATTGCTAACATTCTCCGTTATTACTAACGTTCTCCTCGTTGCATTTTTTTTTGCCTGACTCTTTGGGAAACACGAAGGTCAGGCAGACAGTATTTTCATTAAACCCATTTTTAGTGGTGTTAGGGGGAAGAGTATTGAGTTACCGTTGGTGGGACCAGAGTGCTCTGTGCAGGGACCGCAGAGGTGCCGCATGGCTCATGCGGGCTTAGCGCTTTTGCTTCTAATGCGACAAGAAAATCAGCAACAAAAACGCTAGTGTAACCTTGCGTCCCTGATTTTTGTAACAACAACACATGCAGCAAGAACAAGATCAACACCAACAATGTACACTAGAAAGTGTCTCGTGCAAAACAAAAACAAAAATGAAAACAAAGGCAACAAAAGCAAAAACAAGAACAAAGACACCTAAAAACAACAAGAAGAAAAATGCGTTATTCTAACGATAACAACAGCAACAGGTACATAACGATAATACGGACTGAATGTACACCTGAGGAAGCGAACGAGTCTCAAGACCAGCGGATGAACGATGTTGCTTCCTCGAGTCCTCGACACGGACCCTCGAGGGTGAGTCGCGTCACAATCCAGAATGTAAACACGAGAACAGAATGTTCTCTGCGGGTCCGGGTTGCCCGGTGCCTACCTAATCCAGCTTTATCTTTCAGTATTGATCATTTGAGCTTTATAAGAATGGTAAAATAACCGAACATGTTTCAGCGTTAGTTCATTCGTTGTTTTTGTAAGATACAGATTAACCAATATATATTAAGATACACGTTAACCATTGTATTTTAAGATATAAATTATCTATTGTATTTCAAGACATAAATTACTTATTGTATTTCAGAATAATAAGGTAGTTACAGCTTGTCCGGCCACATTAATTACTGGTCAATTATGCAACGATTATCAATTTCCTGTCCCATACCTAATCTATAGTCAATAAATTGTAAAATAGACTTAGCGACTTGAGTAGAATGAGGATAGACGAGCGTCTATCAGTCATGAAGCACTCTCGTGTATCCTAAATCCTTCAAACGATCTTTATCCTAATCAACTTTTTCCTCCAAGATATCCTTTCCACCCTCCCTAATATTCTTTCTAGCCTCCCAAACATCTTTTCAACTCTCCCAAACATTCTTTCCACTCTCCCAAACATCCTTTCTAGCTTCCCAGATATCCTTTCTAGCCTCTCAAACAGCTTTCCCACCCTCCCAAACATCCTTACCACGCTTCCTCGTGTTTCAGTATTAGATCAGTAAAGCTTACTGCGTGAGCGAAACATCTGTCAATAAAGATACCCAGGTGTTGAATATGTGTCATGTTTATTAGTTTGTCTGCATTGTATGTTCCGTTGTATCTTTTGATATTCACCTGTGAAGGAGACATTGAGGAGATAGTCTCTGTAGAAGTCTCCACCATCACACCTGTTCATAGCCTCACACACATGGTTCATGCCAGGGCACTTGCTGCGCTGGAGGTTTGACAGAGCGTAGGCGAATGCGTACACTGCGTCCACCACGAACTGAACCTGCCGGAGGAGATCATTATTATTAGTGTTATCCTTATCTCATTATTATTAAAAACACTATAGATATCAGTCAATTGTTCGAGGGGAAAAACAACGAAATCATTTTTATTATTAAATTTATGAGAAATGCTAAACCCGCACAGCGCCTGGGAAATGGGAGGTAATAAAGTTTGGTCCAAGGGAGGAGAAAGCGTAGATCTAATCCACAGACCCTCACAGGTTTGGAGTTTTACATAACTATACTAATATGTCCTACGTGACCTTAGGCCTATATCCCTTTTCTTATTTAATATCGCTGAAATATTGTATCTATTCCATTTGAAGGCAGAAAACATGGAAGGAAAAGAAAGATTGCAAGAAGTTAAGAAGAAAAGACAGTTGGAAAGAAGGAAAGAAGAATGAGAACCATGAAGAGGACAGGATGGAAGGAAAGAAGGAAAAACTGAAAGGAAAGAAGGTTAGAAAAGAAGGAAGGAAACAAGGAACGAAGGCTGAAAGGAACAAATGAAGAAAGGAAAGAGGATGTGAAGATTGGAGATCGTGTTGACCTAACCTGACCTGGGAGGCCACACTCGAGATCGTCCACAAGATCACCCAGGTTAAAACTGTCTAACACAATATAAACAACTAACTCCAACAAACTCACAATACCAATCCTACCACACCAAGTTAAAAAGAAAATCATTATAATTAAGAAGAGATTTTCATCGAAGTTACCAGAGATTCCGTCTCGATAGGGGGGAAAAAAAAGTCCTATTTCTCTTATCAATCAAAATACCACCACACTGCTGTCCCAACGGGCTCATTAACTGATTGGTCGGTGCTCCGAAACTATGAATGTTCTGATTGGACGGCTTCTCAGCGCTCATATCCCTGCGTCAAGAAAAAGTGTTTTGATTGGACGGCTTCTCAGCGCCCATATATCCCTGCGTCAAGAAAAAAGTGTTCTGATTGGACGTCTCGTCGGTTCTTGTGGACAAAATATACGAGTTCCCGAACGGCCACCTGCAAGGTGTTATCCAGGTGAGCTACGGCCGGTTACAGCCTCGGCAAGCCGGATATTCCAAGTGGTTTATTATGCTACACTCTGTAGAAAAGTCGCCTCAGGTCGAATTTACCGTGTGGCCGGTAGTTTATCGTGGCCATTTCTCTTTTAAGAGCGAGCGAGAGATGAAAATAAAATTACTCACATTACAAATGTATTTTTTTTCTAAGAAGCGTCATTATATCAAATATGAATAATAGAATTCTTTTGGGTTACTTTTGATGTAATATACAATTCGTCTTTCAAATTCGTGCTTACCATTTCTCATCTTTCTCGCCTTAACCTTATTTAGACAGGTGTTAGATATGGTAAGTCAGTTTAATTTTCTTAAATGCAATGCGTCTTTTACCTAAGATCTCAACCAGTGGTTTTGTTATCTAATTTGGCTTCGTTTTGTCGTGTTTTCGTTTCAGCTTCATAATATATTATCCCTGGTGGCATTTTGTGCTTGAGGTACGAGGACGAACTATAAGGGGTTGTGAATATATATTACACCTGATTTATTATACTTGTACTGACCCCTCGTAATTAATGTTGTGATGGATTAACAAGACGTCGGATGCTGAGGTGTATTTAAACCCATGGCAAGCGAGTTCTAACACTTGCAAGTGCTGCGACTTTTAAAAAAGACAATTAATATATTTGTGTATATTGTCTTTTCATTTAATCTTCTAATGGTGATATTAACAGTTAAAATGAAAATTTCATGCTGTATATTTTAATTTGTCTATTTATATTAGGATGTAACGGCTACACCTTTCATTGTGCTCGTTGTTGGAGTTTTAACTGGCTGTCAGCACTTGCAAACTACCAGATCGATTGTTACGCTCGTCCCAGGAGCTACTTATTACGAATAACTTAATGTTGTCGATGCTGGACCTACCTCACCCTCTGTATTTTTGCTTATGGAGGCAGCATGCTCTCTCTCTGTTGCTCTGTTTGGGAGACGGTTATTACCCTCAGCTCTCGTGATTTAGAGTATGTCTCCGTTAGTGAGTCGAGACATACATCTCGTAACTCTGTGCAATTGTTCACAGAACATTATTTAGACTTAGTGATATTTGAAGTTTCCAGAGATTGTGTGTCGTGGAGACTATATCTCTGGTCCCGAGTTAAACTCTCGACCTACATTGTTCTGGCATCTACACACTGTCGTGGTAGGGAATTTGGTACTGCTGAACACAGTGTCAGTAATAAGGGAGTTTTATGCTCTGGAGATGTCTATACTTTCTAGATGTATTATTTTGTAGCAGCAAGCCAGTACATTAACCATTTCACCATACTAGTCTAATAACTCATATTCCTATTTACAACGGTTACATGCCTGCTAGTTTAAGGTGAATTTATCTGTATAGAGCATTTTCTTGCAGCCAGGTATCTTTTATTGACATCCCTAAGTATATTTTGGTTGCTTGATCTTAGAGGAAACTGGAATGCCTCTAGCTTAGGCTCTTCTATAAATTAAACAGCGCATATTGTGAAGGCCTTTCGGCGCGCAGCTCAGTTTCAATCTAACTCAAGAAATCGTAATGACACGATTGCAAACAAACCATACCCCCGGCCGGGATTGAACCCGCGGTCATAGAGTCTCAAAACTCCAGCCCGTCGCGTTAGCCACTAGACCAGCTAGCCACGATAAGATTCATCCAACTAGGTATATTTCTACACCATAGGAAGGTTAGCACAGGCACCTCTGTGACCACAAATGCAAGTTTTTACAGACAAATCTCCAGCTAGCGTGGCCGTGACGAACTCTAGCTCAAGTCCCTTCACTGCCGTCAACATGACTCAAGAAATCGTAATGACACGATTGCAAACAAACCATAGCCCCAGCCGGGATTGAACCCGCGGTCATAGAGTCTCAAAACTCCAGCCCGTCGCGTTAGCCACTAGACCAGCTAGCCACGATAAGATTCATCCAACTAGGTATATTTCTACACCATAGGAAGGTTAGCACAGGCACCTCTGTGACCACAAATGCAAGTTTTTACAGACGAATCTCCAGCTAGCGTGGCCGTGACGAACTCTAGCTCAAGTCCCTTCACTGCCGTCAACATGACTCAAGAAATCGTAATGACACGATTGCAAACAAACCATACCCCCGGCCGGGATTGAACCCGCGGTCATAGTCTCAAAACTCCAGCCCGTCGCGTTAGCCACTAGACGGGCTGGAGTTTTGAGACTCTATGACCGCGGGTTCAATCCCGGCCGCGGGTATGGTCAGTTTCAATCTACTACTTCAATGATATTTGCAAACAAATCACACACTATAAAGATGTTTTATAAAAGACCTTACAGTAGATAAAATAGTTAAGACGTTATGAAAAATTTTTTCTTACGAACCAATTATTTACAAAGTATCGATTTGTGACAACTGAATTTTATCATATTAAATATGTAATTACTTAAGAGACTTATCAGTCCTGACAAACTCAAGTCTTGAAGGGTTGTCAATATTGACAAATACCCAGACCAAAGAATGTTGCTTACAAATCAATATCGACACTCTTGACTTATTAAAGATACAAGATTATAAATGACTAGAACCAGACTCGTAAATGGTAGCGGCTCTTACGTCCATACCAACCACTGAACACTTGAACACACTGAACACTACCCAGATACTTCTTGAATACTACCAGAAATTCAACTGATTTCAGAATACACGGAGACTACAAAATACTAGCAGAATACTACCTGAACACCAGAATTCAGCCAGACTACACACAGTTTTACCATTTTCCCACCATCACAACACTACAAAACTCGCCCTGACACATTAACTACCTGTGTGATGAATGGTTTTGAAAACCGACAAGTTGAAGAATTGAGACACTTATGCAACATATGGGAATCTTTACTGAAGAAACGTTTCGCCACACAGTGGCTTCATCAGTCCAATACAAAGTAGAAATGGGTAAGGAGAGTAGAAGTTTGAGGAAATCAGTCTCTCAACCTGGAATCGATGTGTTCAGTCCATCACTCTTGTAGGAAGTGCAGCACAGGGCCAGAGAGGTGGCTTATATACTGCGGTGAGATGAGTTGAAGCCACTGTGTGGCGAAACGTTTCTTCAAAAAAGATTCCCATGTGTTGCATAAGTGTCTCAATTCTTCAACCTGTCGGTTTTCAAAACCATCCATCACATCTGTCAGACACTGCAACATCATGGGATCTTGGTACAAAGACTTCAACGCTTGCCCAACCTTTGGACGACGACCTACTTACACTAGTGGCAGGTCCCACTGTGATCCCGCCCCTCCTGCTTCAACTCATCTCACCGCAGTATATATAAGCCACCTCTCTAGCTTTGTGCTGCACTTCCTACAAGAGTGATGGACTGAACACATCAATTCCAGGTTGAGAGACTGATTTCATCAAACTTCTACTCTCCTTACCCATTTCTACTTTGTATTGGACTGATGAAGCCACTGTGTGGCGAAACGTTTCTTCAGTAAAGATTCCCATATGTTGCATAAGTGTCTCAATTCTTCAACTTATCGGTTTTCAAAACCATTCATCACAACACCAGGAATATATATTATAGAAAGAAACATAATAAAAGGGTTAACCAAAATATTACACGCAGAAGAGAAAGTATCTGACTGGGAAACAACGGAGGAAGAGCTAACACTTCCATTCACGAGATGGAGTTAAAGACAGCAATATTTAATGAACGAAAGTTTCATTAGAATTGTTTCTGGTTTGCTGAACCAGTGATACAGTTCTTTATCCGTTCATTTTAAGCGAAAACACACACATACATGCCTACCAGGATAGCGAGAAAATTACCCAGCTATCCTAATAGTATGGAGGGTGGTTAACGAGGTTAACAGCCTATCGACTAAACTAGGGTCATTAAGGATGTACCTAATTTTTTAACCACTGTACAAGAATACTCTAATCCCTAAAATAGGGATGAAAGTCTCAATGTATATACACAGAGATACAGACTTCTTGGTGTATATATCCTGTAAAGTTCTAACCATGTAAAAATATATTGTTTACGAAACCTTAAGTTCTCTACTGCAGTTCTCCCAAAGTTTTATGGAAACAATTTACTATAAATTTTACAATTTCTAAAAGAAAACTTGGAAAAAGTGTAATTACTTTACAAGTTTTCTGTCGGGGAAACAGTTTTGGCTAATAGACAGCATTAGAGAGTCGAAATATGCTCCTAGATTACGTTGAATTACCTTTAATGGCGAGTCAAGAAGGTAATCTTAATTGAATCGAACGGAACCGCCGCCTACCTATCGTCAGCACCAGCAACCTTCCCCCCACACACACACACAGTTCGGCTTTTCATGTGTAATATTAAATGTTATCCAGTTTTGCATAAATTATGTCATGTAGAAATAATAAATTATTAGTATTAATGTTATTATTATGGCAGTAAAGATATTTAGAGAATACCCTTACGTAAAAAAATGCTGTTTGGCCTAGTAGAATACATAGGCCTGCAGCAATTTCTTTGCTGAAAATTGTTGACTAATTCTTATCAGTTTCGACTTCATAAATTATCAAATTTATCACGTACAGTTTTTATTCAGTCGCTTACAAAGCAAAGTTTTCATTCTCCTTTGTTATAGGAAAGATCTTAACATGTATGTGGGTAGTGGAGGGAAAGAGGTTGTGTGTGTGTGAGAGAGAGAGAGACAGACAGAGAGAGAGAGAGAGAGAGAGAGAGAGAGAGAGAGAGAGAGAGAGAGAGAGAGAGAGAGAAGAGGTTACAGGGCACTTGAGGTTGAGGTTGTGAGGGAGAGAGGGGGGGAAGGGGTTACAGGACATTCTAAATTTTAAATTATGGTTCCCCTTAATAATTAAAACACCTAGAAAAGGGAATTAGTTATTTTGTTCAAACTCATCAGCAAACTTTACTGATGGAACTAGACTATTTAATTAATACAAATTAAAAGTTGGGATTATGGTCTCTCTAATCTGATTTTCTTCTAATTTCTCCTTAGAACAGTCTGGAGAATAAGTGTGATTTCAAAATTGCGATATTTTGTGTTTCGATATAATAGAAATTACGTTAATGTGGATGTTATAGCTATGACTGTAAATAAGAAGCCTCATAGACGTCCGTTAGGGCGAAGCAACATGTCTGTATCAAGGGAAGAAACAGCCATATTGATTTCAATATTTCTTAACCACCACCTTCCTAATTCTAAAATCCTCATTTTAGAAACTTCCGAATCCTACCCCTGAAAACCCTGGAATCCTCATCCTGGAAACTCTGGAATAATCCTGGAAACTCTGAAATCCTCATCCTGGAAACCATGGAATTCTCCCCTGGACGCCCTGGAATCCTCTTCGCAGAAAACCATTCCCCTTTTTCCCTTAAAAATTTCCAGCGAACGTCCCTGCTGGGAATACAGACTACTTCTACATCAAAATTTCTAATTTCTAATTCAATTTGTAGATTAACAGTTTTATGTACTAACAAATATGTAAATAAAGACACAAGCGCTTTTTGGCATTTGATTGAAAAGACGTTTCGACCATCAGGCACCTTTGTGATAACTTATGTAATAAGGTCCCTGGAGGACGAAACGTCCTCGTAATAAAGTGCTTTAACTGTACTTTATTAAGGAACTAATTCACTTTCTGGAAACGAAAAGTTTCGCCATACTTGGAGAGATGTCTCTGTCTCTCTCTTTCTCTCTCTGTCGAGGGTCTGGTACAAAATATATCAAACTTCTCTCAAAATTGCCTCTCTAACTCGACCAAAATAGGTTTATAAGTTTATTCCAAACCGACCCATAACTTGGGCAAACTGGGGCGAAATCTCCTCCCCCCTACTCCACTCCCCCCTTCGCCTTAACTTAGGCTTGATATTCTTTTAAAAACTCATAATCGAATCCTAAATTCATTTCGAAGTGTAAATGATGGTGTGAGGGACGGGGACTTTCCCGCTTCCCCCGAGGCACGATACGTGAGGCGGGGGAACTTTGAGGTGGGAGAACTTTGAGGTGGGAGAACTTTGAGGTGGGGGAACTACGACCACAACTACGACCACAACAACTACAAACCCAATACTACAACCATCACCACCACTAGAAAACTAGAACTACCAATACCACCACAACAACACTGACTCACGCAAGCACTGCATTTCTAACTTGTCTCGTAGTGTGTTCACTTAACTCTCACAGAGCCTCCACTTAACTGGAGAAAACATGTTGATTCATTTAAGTATTTTTTCCTCGCGTGTTTTCTTCTAGTTACACAATTCAATTAGACGGTCCTGTCTGAGGTGTTCACTTTGTCTTCCTCTTTCATGTAATTGTAGGAAGAGAATTGTGGAGATTTGTATTCTTTCACGAACTGTTTGTGCAGAATTGTAGAACAATAGTGTAGAAATTTGTATTACTCGGGAAATTCCATATCTTAGAATAGCTTATTCCATAGTAGTAAAGGCCACGAGTGTTTTCCTATTTGATTATCTCGATTACTAGCTGGGCGAGGGTGAATTGTTGACACTGTCATGTTCATTTCTTAGTATGTGACTTCGTCTGAGTTGATTACTTGGACTTCTCTATCACAACCTTGCACTACTCTTCCATTTTAGGAGTTTTAAACTTTCTTTCTCACTTTCTCTTATGCTCTCTCTTATGCTGTCTCTCCCTCTCTTATGCTCTCTCTTACGCTCTCGCCCTCTCTTACGCTCTTTCTCTCTCGCCCCTTCTTCAAGTCCAGGTCCACCATCACACGCCACAGCCAGAGTGCCGGGAGTGCCACAGGCGTGGCACTGACAGCTCCATGTCATTAGTGCCCCTCTCTCTCTCTCACCCTCTCTCTCACCCCCCTCTCTCTCCATTCTTAATCACTTTCCTATCTCTTTGAATTCTAATCCTTTTCACTCTTCTTTAGCTTCCAACGTTTCTATTAATGTAAGCATTGTTCTTTAGTTTTACTCTTCTCTGATGTTGTTATTATTCCTTTTTTGATATTAGCTCTTGTAACAAGCTCACTGGTATCTTGTGAAACTAACAGTAACCTGACTTGTATCTTGTAAAGCTAATAGTAATCTCCCTTGTATCTTGTGGAACTAATAGTATCTTGACCTTATCTTGTTGCTCTTACGGTGCCCTAACCCCCACACTGTGTTCTAAAGTACCACAGAAACCACGTCAAAGATTATGAGACACTCACACCTACAAGCACTTCAGGAATAAATTACTTGCTCTGAGGTACACTCACACACGCAAACATTCAGGAACCAGTTACTCACCTTGGGATCCTGCTGATATCCTGCCTCCTTGCTGATCCTCCGGGTACTGGGGCAGGCCAGGTCAGTACCGGGAGGTCCCAGTTTGCACCCGAAAAAGGTTTCCCAGTACTCGTTGAACCAGGGGTTCCTGGTGTTGGTCTCGGGAGTGAGGCTGGCCATGTAAGTGTCAAACCCTCTCACCACCTGTGGGAGACATGACCACGATGTTGATATCTCCAACGATCACAGTTATTAGCATTACGTTGTAGGATTTAACAACTGCATAAATGGTAAATAATAATTATGTTAGAATATAAAGGGAAATAATTCTAAAGTATTCATTATTATTTTTTGTAATTTTTACTTTTATTATTATATTATTATTATTATATTATTATTATTATTATTATTGCTGTAGTTTTCAAAATACATAAACAGAATAATGACTCCCCTCCCTCCCTTCCTTTCTCCATCTACCTCCTTCTCTCCTTCCCTCCCTCACAGGCACCTCTCTCCCTCCCTCAAAAGCACCTCATTCCCTCCCTCCATCTCTAGCAAACATTTCACTTTCGCTTCACTCGCTCCTCTCTTCCCTTCTCTGTCTCATTTTCTCACAGATTTCTTCCTCTCCATCCATAAAATCTCTCTCCCCCTTATTCACTCCCCCCGCGTCTCCTACACACAAACACTTCACTTTCTTATATTTGCTCTCATTTAACAGAGATGTGACTGGTAATGAAAGAAAATATTAATGATGACGATAATGAGGAGGATGAGAGAGTACCGCTGACGGAATTAAATATAAACAGGTGCTCCATTCTCGGTTCCCAAATTTAACGAAGCCGACTTAATCATCATTCTTATATATGGGAGGCACCAGGTGGCTGCTTTGATCTGGTCAAGACAGCACTGAGCAGCAATGTTGTGTTCTCAGCTGTGTGTTAAGGATGAGGAGAGGACAGTTACTGTCTTCTCATGATTATCGAGATTACGATTATGTAAAAGGCTGGTGTTTTGAAACCCTGTGTACTTGTACTAGCTAAATATCAGCAATAAGTTTACTTGGGGTACAGCACCGACAAGTTGGTAAGACATATTTACTTGGGGTGTCTCTGTTGTCTAAACTTTTCCCCTGAACAACAGGCTTTCTCAGTCGAATACAGGTGAATGCAGCAGCTGAAGCAGTAGAAGTACTGACGTGACCAGTCCATCACCCTCGGTGGGAGCCTGTCAGTTCCTCAAGCCTAAGGTGACACCTTAAGTACTAGAGTAAAGGTGAGATGAAGCAGCTAGAGTTACTATCACAGGTGAGTGTGGCCTACTACTGCTTTCAGTGTTGCAATCGACTGTATTCGAGTGTTGTGAAGACGATATGTTTAGGCAATAATGATACCCAAGCGCTGCAAATGTGTCTGATTCATCATTAGGAAAAATATAATGAGAATCGAGGACATAGTGAGACCTATCGTAAACAAGCATTATACAAAGGAACTCTTTTTTTCGCTGGTGTCGAGTTGAGTGCTGTGAGGGAGGCAAAACTTTGACAGATCGGCGACTCTGGTGTTCTTATTGGATTTTCTTTCCAACACTTTTGGGGAGGTGCAGGAATATCTCTAATAAAAAAAAGTATTCCACACTGAGGAGGTGACCGATCTGGCTGATTCATTCGAGGTACAACACAACACAACTCTAGTCCAGCCATGAGAAATTCTTCTGAGACCCAGCTGAGGCATTTCAAATTGTCAGAATTTCTGTACCTGAGCCAACATGTGACACTGAGATTCCTTTTATGTCATCAGTGCTTGACTAGGACACCTCACAATACCTATCTCCAAAAAGACAGCCAAATCAATCCTAACAGAGTTAGATGTATTTATTACGATAAACTGGGACATATTCTCCCTCGGTATTTTAGGCTGCAAAATTAACAAAATACTTGACAGCAGCCACAAGGTCGAACCTATGTTCTCTGACCTTGGTTAATTCTTGCCAGGGGATTCAGAAAACTCATCGGTCAGAGAAAATCCAGGGGTCAACGAGAGAATAATTCATTCTATCGTAATGAAACGTAATGAAATTTAGTGACGGCCTGGATATGTAAAACCGAGCTGTGACATCGTTCAGTCATCAATGCTGTCTCTTTGACACCACTTAGAGTTGTAGCGTCTCACAGAGTATTGACCGAGGTTGTCTCCCTCAAGGACTCGTATGTGAATTGCACATTTTATTGTAATCCTCGGTATAAAGTTTGTCATCTCTTACGTATACCGGGAATAACTTTTTATTAGGCACTTGTAGTTGCATCAGGCAGTCCTATGCACAGCCTATTGATTTTTTTTTATTTACAGGCTACATGTATATGGGGCTCTCTGGTGAATTTCCCTTTCATGACGCATGACAGTGTTAAGATTATATGATGATTTTCTGTCTATATTTGTGAATGAGCCTCTGTTATGTACGATGGTTTTTAACATCGTGGTTGTAAATATTAACGTATCTACCAAGCAGGTTAAGACCAGCCTATACAAAACTCAAGTGCAGTTTCTACTCGAAAAATATTTTATAGCACCAAGTATAGTCTAAGTTTTACCTTCAATTCTTGTCCCTAATAGCAAGAAGGGCCATTAGGGACGAGTATACACCCTTGTATTAATGGAGTATGTTCTAAAAATATTTTTTATTTGAATGTTTTATTTTACCTAACATAAGGTTAGGTAAGTTTCCTAAGGTGCTTTTGGTACAAAATTAATTTTTATATTAACGTAATTTAAAAAATCTTTAAATGTATAAGAGAAAATTTTAGAAAGGACTTAATTTTAAATGAGTTCTTGTTGATTGACCAGTTTTACCTATTCGGCACGGCATACATATATATTGTTTCTGCAACCTAGACGAAATAAGTCCCATTGGATACTTCTAGGACTACTTAAGTCACAAGTTATACGGAAATACTGAGACACTTATATTTTTATTTTTAAATAAAATTTTAATTTAACCTTATTGATATTTATTTTCACTTCGCAATTTTTGAGTTTTACTGTCCTTGTCGCACCCTTAGAAGAGGTATTAACCACCATAATTATATTCGTGGGGAAGTTCTAAACCCGTGGGGGCCATATAGCGCCAAGGGCACTGGAGATAATCAGTTTCGATCTAAGGAAATGAAGAGAATGTTCAGTATATATATAAAATAGTCACTGATGATTCCTGGTGGAGCTGTAAACTCACAAGTTTACCTCGCTGAGTACATACATACTTCCTCGTGGAAATATTTCCCACCATCACCACCATGAGACTACACATTAAGGTGACAAATGTGTCAGAAAACTAGGGAGGGAGGGAGGGGGGTGTAGATCCCACCCCAGGACGCAATGCAGTTGCTTTGGTGGACCTGTGGCCCGTCTTGCAGCAGTTGTAACCCGTCGTGCAGCTGTGACCCGTCGTGCAGCTGTGACCCTTTGTGCAGGAGTTGTGACCCAGCGTTCAGCTGTTGTGACTCGTCGTGCAGCGGTTGTGATCCGTCGTGCAGTTGTGACCCCTCATTCGGCTGTTTTGACACATTTTGCAGGGTTTGTGACTCGTCGTGCAGGAATTGTGACCCTTCGTGCAGGAGTTGTGACTCGATGCACCAGACGTCTCATTCAAGCTCATCTGAATATCAAAGAGGTTGTTGATATGAACTTTCTCTGCTCATGGTTCTTGATTTTATTTGCCCTTATTTCACCCTTGTTTTCCATTCACTTTGCTGACTTCATAATTTTTTCATTATATATATAATATTTTTTTCAACAAGTCGGCCGTCTCCCACCGAGGCAGGGTGACCCAAAAAGAAAGAAAATCCCCAAAAAGAAAATACTTTCATCATCATTCAACACTTTCACCTCACTCACACATAATCACTGTTTTAGCAGAGGTGCTCAGAACACAACAGTTTAGAAGCATATACATATAAAGATACACAACATATCCCTCCAAACTGCTAATATCCCGAACCCCTCCTTTAGAGTGCAGACATTGTCCTTCCCATTTCCAGGACTCAACTCCGGCTATACAAAAATAGCCGGTTTCCCTGAATCCCTTCACCAAATATTACCCTGCTCACACTCCAACAGCTTGTCAGGTCCCAAATACCATTCGTCTCCATTGACTCCTAACGAACACGCTCATGCACGCCTGCTGGAAGTCTAAGCCCCTCGCCCACAAAACCTCCCTTACCCCTTCCAACCTTTCCGAGGACGACCCCTACCCCGCCCTTCCTTCCCCTACAGATTTATACGCTCTCCATGTCATTCTACTTTGATCCATTCTCTCTAAATGACCAAACCACCTCAACAACCCCTCTTCAGCCCTCTAATACGTTTATTAACTCCACACCTTCTCCTAATTTCCACACTCCGAATTTTCTGCATAATATTTACACCAAAAATTGCTCTTAGACAGGACATCTCCACTGCCTCCAACCGCCTCCTCGCTGCAGCATTTACAACCCAAGCTTCACACCCATATAAGAGTGTTGGTACTACTATATTTTCATACATTCCCTTCTTTGCCTCCAGAGATAACATTTTTTGCCTCCACATATACCTCAATGCACCACTCACCTTTTTTCCTCTAATCAATTCTATGATTAACCTCATCCTTCATAAATCCATCTGCTGATACGTCAACTCCCAAATATCTGAAAACATTCACTTCTTCCATACTCCTCCTCCCCAATTTGATATCCAATTTTTCTTTATCTAAATCATTTGATACCCTCATCACCTTACTCTTTTCCATGTTCACTTTCAACTTTCTACCTTTACACACATTCTCAAACTCATCCACTAACCTTTTCGTGACTACTCACATTAACAAGGAACATTGTTCCTTAATATATATATATATATATATATATATATATATATATATATATATAATATATATATATATATATATATATGCAATAAGATCACAGTAAACAGGTGATTTCAAAATATGCAAAACAACCACTCTGAAAGAATAGAGAAATTCCAAGCGCTTTCGTGACTACTCACATTATCAAGGAACCATAGTTCCTTGATAATGTGAGTAGTCACGAAAGCGCTTGTAATTTCTCTATTCTTTCAGAGTGGTTGTTTTGCATATATATATATATATATATATATATATATATATATATATAAATTTACATGCACAATGTTATGAATAAAAGCACTGGGGAT